GATTTGGATCATCATGATTGATTAGATGTATGTTTACTACTTGGAGTGATTTTGTAGTTTTAAAGTTTTCCATTAATGATTTTTTGCCCTTCTTATGTTAAATTTGATCCAGTCTTCACTCCTCCCCTAATGTTTTTCATTCTTAAGGGGTGATGGTTAGGAATTACTGAAGACATTCTAGTCAAACTGATTATTATTATTTTTTTGCAGCTTCGAAAGAGTGTTTTTGACTTTGCTCAAAAGGAACTGGCTCCCAAGGCAGCTCAAATTGACAAGGATAATGAGTTCCCTGAATTGAAGGTAAGCCTTTCCAGTAATGAACTGATTAACTTCTTGGAAGATTCATGGGTGATTATTTTCTTGTGTTTGCTGTTCATTTTTGTAAAAACATTTGTTTTATGTAATTATATCATTCTATTATAACTTGAAATTCAAATACTTCATAATTATAAAAAACATAGTTTTTTCATCTAGGTTATTTATAAGACATTTTCATTACTTGCTGGTAGATTATGCAAATAGTTTATTACACTTGAGCTATTTTCTTGATCAAAAATGCTCCTACTTGGTGGAATTGAATCTTTTGTCAAAACAAAACTGCTCTAATTTTCAATTACTTGCTAACAAGGGATGGGCATGAGCAATATTTAATAAAAACATACTTTTAAATGACGTGTTCCTGCCAAGTCTAATGTCCTAACAAAAAAATGTTCACTCATTCAACAGGAGTTCTTTCAAAAAATGGGATCTCTTGGTCTTTTAGGGGCAACAGCTGATCCTGAATATGGAGGATCAGGCATGGGGTACTTTGATCATGTCCTTATTATGGAAGAGCTGTCCAGAGCAGCAGGTAATTCAAACTAACTTGAACAGGTTAAATAACTTTTCACCTGGTCTGTGTTTGGCACTTCTAATCTAAGCCATGCCAATAAAGTTTTATAGTTGTCAAGAAGTAGCTGTAAAGATATCAGATTGAGTACCTATATATTCCATGCAATAAGTTTTTAGTTGCAAAATTATCATTTACCTTGCCAGTTGTAGCAAAAAAAATTTAAAGCTGAACTCACCTTAGTAAATTATGGTTGTCTTTACATGAGCATTAAGTCATTATTTTCATTCTTAGCGTTTTATTAAACAATGTTTCAATTGACCGTGTCAACTCAAAATGTCAGCTCATAACTCCCTATATATATATCTGTGCTCCATTTCATATTTCAGATTAAATTTTTATTTCATATACAAAGAAGCTGAAAACCACAAGCTATAAGCTCTCAGGCCCAATGGTCATCCATCTGGCAGACCTGCGGCTTTAAGTCCACTCCAAGTAGACACCCTGCAAAAAAGAAGAAGAAGACGGGCTGACGGACATAAGGAAGTAAAGGTGCCTGTACACAGGGATAGTACTAGCCCTAGCTGCTAGTTCATTCGCCGCTTGAACTGTCCACGCTACTAGCCTCATGCATAAGGGTTCAGCCGCTTTAGAGGCATGTGCCGGCAAGTGCCCAAGATGCGGACGAGAGGGACAACCGTTGATGTGTTGATTACTGCGCTGAAGAAGTGGCTAGTAGCACTGATGCAGCCATGGTGAGAGAATCTGTGCCGCTCATGTGAACTTGTGAAGTATCTTGGGTCAAGTGAATCATGGCTTGTTTGAACAATAATGTTTCTAAGAAGAACCCAACAAAGTGGATAGGCCTACCAGATGATATTAAATTATTCTTTGAAATATTCCAAAAATATGAATTAAAGTATCCTATAAGGTTTGCCATAATGGTTACTCCAACAAAATGAAGAGAAATGAGTACTGTAAGATGGGGTAACTTAGACCCCTTTTTTTATAAATGATGCAATTTTTTTACTAGCTAAATTAAACTTGAATTGAAACATGCAAAATATGGGTCTATACTCTAGCTTCACTTTTTTCGTGGGTCACATTCTTAATTTTTTAATCTATTAGATATGCAAACTTTTTAAATCTTCCTATTGTGTTGTATAGCCTCGATATTAGGCTTTTAATGCCATTGACAAAATTTTTCTATGTCAAATAGTTTTTGAGTTTTGGGGATTTTTGTTAAAAAAACAAAAAGTGGTCTAAGTTACCCCATTTTACGGTATTTTGAAACAGAAAGAAGACCTTATTAGTCAGGGTTTAGTTGTTCCTGATGCTGCATTTTTAATGGCTAGAATAAAGAGTATAAAAACAACGTACAGACTCGTGTTGTTGAAGGTAATCCCACTATCCATCTTCACGGACCTCACTCAACTGCTTCTAATGACGCACTGGCAGGCGTGAATGAGAAGATAGTGGCACATTATACTCTGCTTGTGTACAGGGCCTACTAGCGGGATAGTAACCAAGCAACCAACACTAGCCAGATCTACTAGCCGTCTGCACTATGCCACTATCCCTGTGTACAAAGCTGCACTATGCCACTATCCCTGTGTACAAGCACCTTATGCTCCAGTGTGGCCTTCAAGAGTGAATTTGTACTTTTTCTTTTCCTCAATCTTTGATTCCAGAGCTGACAGCCTGACTGACTGCTAAACACCAATGTTCCTCATGATTAATATAACATAACATAGTGATGTCAGCGCTAAAGAGTAGGCCTGATGTGGCCTGTTGCCGATTCTTGAACTTTTCGTGACTTGTTCACAGAAGGTCTAAAATCGTGTCATTTGACCGGATATTTTCAAGACTGACGATAGTTTGAAATAGCTACTAGACTTCCATCGGGTTTGATATGGTGCTAGGCATTTCAAGTCTGAACATATATTTTTCCATAGCTTCATCTAGTCTGTTCTTGAACACATTCATACTATACTAGGAGTGCAAACAATGTAATCAGGGAGGCTATTCCACATGTTGGTGATTCAAAGCGAGAAGAAATATTGTCATGTCGACAAGTTGCAGCGCAGTTTTTTAGTTTATAGCCTTCAACCATGGCACTGGCCCCTGGTGTTGGACTGTTGGTTCTTGTTTCAAATTGTACTGTAGTAATCCTTCGGCTTGGGTGACCTTGTATAAACCATGGAGTATACTTGTATACTTCAATGAGGTCCCTACGCAGAGGTTGATAACTGAGGCTTGGAAGCTTCTTGATTTTTAATCTTTCTTCATTGGACTTGCCCTTCAAGCATGGAATTATCCTTATTGCATGTGTGTGAACATTCTCTATCATTTTTGTCCTTTTCAAATTTTGGTGACCGCACAACATTTCCAAACTCTAGATTCTGGTGCACAACAGCAACAAACAACTGCTTCATTGCTTCTGCATCTAGGAACTTGCAAGAGCGTCTGATTAGACCAAGAATTTGGTTTTTAAAATTAGCTTTCATTTCAACATGCTTAGAAAATTTCAGCTCCTTGTCAACATAAACTCCAAGATCTTTTTCCACACTAGACTTTTCAATCATTACTTACTCAACCATGTGCCAAGTTTGGAATTGAGTCCTGGGAGGAATTCTAGAGGGGTTTTAAATGACCTATGGAAATGCCATTGCATATCCAATCACAGTCTGGATAAGATGACACCATGATCCCATAACCAATCGCAGTCTGGATATCATGAGATCATGATCCTATCAGCCAATCACAGTCTTGAGAGGATTAAGTCGTGATCCTATCAACCAATCACAGTCTGGAAGAGACCCACAAGTACCTTTGAGCACTATATATTAGAATTCCATCAAAGTTTTCTGACAAGTTTGAAGTACTTTACCTTGGGAAGAACAATGAGCAGCAAGATTACTAATCTTGCTGCTCATTGTTCTTCCCAAGGTGAAGTACTTTAATCTTGTCAGCATTAAACCGCAGCTGCCACGTATCAGCCCAGTTAACTAAACTGTCTATATCACCTTGCAATTGCACTTTATTTGACGCATCCTCCACAGTTCACATTATTATAAACTTTTGTCTTGTCAGCATACATGGAGCTCACTCTGGACACTACTTCTGGCAGATCATTTATAAAAGCAACGAACAATATAGGCCCAAGAACGCTTTCTTGTGCCACGCCATTGCCCACTGATGCCCAGTCTGACATGGTTCCATTAATCCTGACACATTGTTGTCTACCTACTAGAAGGCCTCATCCATTGAAGTATGTTTCCCTCAATTCCCAAAGACTTCTCTTTATGTAACAGCCTCTCATGCGGAACACTGTCAAAAGCTTTTGCAAAATCGAGGTACAATGCATCCACTGGCTCCTTTTGTCCAGAAGGCGAGTCCAATCATTCAACGTAGACAATAGGTATGTTATTGGTGCAGAATTTGTGGGGGAATTTTAGAGGGTTTTAAATGACCTATGGTAAGGCAATTGCATAGCCAATCACAGTCTGGATAGCATGAGATCATGACCCTTTCAGCCAATCACAGTCTTGAGAGGATGAGATCATGACCCTATCAACCAATCACAGTCTGGAATGAATGACATCTCAAGCAATCACAGCTGTGAAGGGATGTCTCCATCCACAAGTACCTTTGAGCACTATATACTTGAATTCAACCATGGTGCAGATCTACTGGCAATAAAACCATGTTGACAATCTGATAGGAGATGGTGAACAGTCAAGTGATCAATAATCTTATCCCTCACAACAGATTCCATTACCTTACAAACAACACTTGTCTGACTGACAGGGTGATAGTTACCGTCAACCGGGGCTACTCGGGACGGTTTTGAGCATTTTTTGTTAATAACTTCTTACGATGAAACATTTCATTTTTTGGATAATCTCCTCCAAATCTTCCTTAATCGCAATTGTAAAGTGCGCCTCCTAAATTTCATGTACGGTAGTTGACTCAGGGCCAATAAATTTTAAAAGTGAAAGTTTCTATCACCTATTTTGGATAAATTAAATATTTTGTAGAGCCTTGGATTTTCATTTGGACCTTGGATTTATTTGTCACATGCTCAGTTTTATTTCCATAGAGGTTAGAGCCTCAAGAGTCAAGATTATCTAAATAAAATAAATCTTGCCATAAAAAATGTTGTTATTTTTGTATGCAAACTTTGACTTTTCCAGACTTTTAGCATTTTAGGCTGAGCTTGATTCTTAATCTTCAAAGAAATGTATCGGAATCCCGGTATTATCTTTCAATCAACATGTCGAATGTTAGAAGTGCAAAGATCACTTCTTCCCTTGGCTCGGCATGGCTCCTACTACCCTATCAATGATGCAATTTTTGGTCTAACAGAGGAACAACAGCAGGTAACCTTGGTGAAAATATTATGTGTGAAATGTGAAATTATTAATTTATATTGGTACAATGCTAATTGTGTTGATTTGGATCATCATGATTGATTAGATGTATGTTTACTACTTGGAGTGATTTTGTAGTTTTAAAGGTTTCCATTAATGATTTATTGCCCTTCTTATGTTAAATTTGATCCAGTCTTCACTCCTCCCCTAATGTTTTTCATTCTTAAGGGGTGATGGTTAGGAATTACTGAAGACATTCTAGTCAAACTGATTATTATTATTTTTTTGCAGCTTCGAAAGAGTGTTTTTGACTTTGCTCAAAAGGAACTGGCTCCCAAGGCAGCTCAAATTGACAAGGATAATGAGTTCCCTGAATTAAAGGTAAGCTCTTCCAGTAATGAACTGATTAACTTCTTGGAAGATTCATGGGTGATTATTTTCTTGTGTTTGCTGTTCATTTTTGTAAAAACATTTGTTTTATGTAATTATATCATTCTATTATAACTTGAAATTCAAATACTTCATAATTATAAAAAACATAGTTTTTTCATCTAGGTTATTTATAAGACATTTTCATTACTTGCTGGTAGATTATGCAAATAGTTTATTACACTTGAGCTATTTTCTTGATCAAAAATGCTCCTACTTGGTGGAATTGAATCTTTTGTCAAAACAACACTGCTCTAATTTTCAATTACTTGCTAACAAGGGATGGGCATGAGCAATATTTAATAAAAACATACTTTTAAATGATGTGTTCTGGCCAAGTCTAATGTCCTAACAAAAAATGTTCACTCATTCAACAGGAGTTCTTTCAAAAAATGGGATCTCTTGGTCTTTTAGGGGCAACAGCTGATCCTGAATATGGAGGATCAGGCATGGGATACTTTGATCATGTCCTTATTATGGAAGAGCTGTCCAGAGCAGCAGGTAATTCAAACTAACTTGAACAGGTTAAATAACTTTTCACCTGGTCTGTGTTTGGCACTTCTAATCTAAGCCATGCCAATAAAGTTTTATAGTTGTCAAGAAGTAGCTGTAAAGATATCAGATTGAGTACCTATATATTCCATGCAATAAGTTTTTAGTTGCAAAATTATCATTTACCTTGCCAGTTGTAGCAAAAAAAATTTAAAGCTGAACTCACCTTAGTAAATTATGGTTGTCTTTACATGAGCATTAAGTCATTATTTTCATTCTTAGCGTTTTATTAAACAATGTTTCAATTGACCGTGTCAACTCAAAATGTCAGCTCATAACTCCCTATATATATCTCTTATGCTCCATTTCATATTTCAGATTAAATTTTTATGTCTGCCAGTAACCAATATTCTGCCCATCAAATCGCTAAAAAAAAACTTAATTGATACCGTATATGCTTCAAAATTGAACTAAGGGAACTTCAGAAGAAATAGCATGCTCATTTGTAGGAAAAAACAGCCAAATTACTAATTTAAGGAACTAAGGATGTATATTGTGGATCTGTTAATAGCTTATGTTATCTGCAACAATTAATAGTACATATGTCCTATCAAAAAAAAAAAAAAGTCTCAAGCTATTGGACAATCTCTATTCTTGAAATGGTATTGCTTGAATCTGTTTGCAGAGGTTTGATCCCCGTGCATCATGTATGACTGGTAAAGTTATGCATGCATTTCTTGAGATTCCCAGGAATATGCTCCTCTGGTAATGGTGTCTTGTGGATTAAATGCCATTTTAACACATGTAATCCAGCCTCCAGCTGGATTACAAATTTGCCATCGCTAAAGCCGAGATTGGTTAAATTTGTATTTCTGTTGGATTGCCTTAATAATTGCATCAGTCACAAACTCTTTTGACTTTGTGCATTTCTGATCTGTGCATTTCTAACATTTAATAGTTCTGAAGATATGCTAAGCTCTTCTAAAATTTATGTTGAAGGCAATTAGATATTTTTTTCAGTCTAGCAGTTAATATTGTTTCTGAAAGAATATCCTCTGAAATGAAGTTTAAATGCTGTATGTTCTTTGTTGTGTGCATTCAAATTTCTTGTGTGTACGTTTGCAGGAGGCATTGCTCTGTCATATGGTGCTCACTCCAACTTATGTGTGAATCAAATTAATCGCAATGGCACTGAAGAGCAAAAACGGAAATATTTACCTAAGGTGAGACAATGTCCTACATGTTTTAGGTTTGTTATGTTCATTCAAAGTTAAATAATGTGGTAGGTTATCCTGCTGTGGAATTAGAGGGTATGAAAAATGTGGTCTTTTGAAGTGCACATTATTTATCTTATATATTTACGTCCTTATTAACAGACAGGAAATGTACATTTCCATGTAGATGCAATATTTTTTATTCACATTATACATTCAACTGTTAAAACTAGCTGCTGATCACTATTTATTTGCAGACTTTGAACACAATGTTTCAGGGACTTATTGCACAGAATGTGTGAGTTTTGAGATGATGTGGTCTGACAGCTGTGCAGCGGCGAGCACATCGGAGCGCTTGCCATGTCTGAGCCTGGCTCCGGCAGTGACGTGGTCTCCATGAAACTCAGAGCTGTTAAAGATGGCGACTCTTATATCCTCAACGGCAACAAGTTCTGGATCACCAATGGACCTGATGCTGACACGCTTGTGGTGAGAGTTGAATCTTGGTTGGCAATGTTGATATAAGCTCACACATCAAGTGAATGAGTTGATAACATATAGTTATCAACTCATTATATAGTACATGATATAGTACAAGGAGTGAGAGAATCACATGGTGGATGTTGAATGTGTAAGTGGCTGTTTTGTGTAATTCTGGTCATTGTGTTGAATATTGTTTCTTGATTTGGATTAGTTTCCTGTTCTGACAACAACAAAATTTTTCTTCCTTTTGATTCAAGGTATTTATTTATTATTGTACTCCAGGTGTATGCAAAAACTGAACCTGAGAAGCATCAACATGGCGTTTCTGCATTCATTATTGAGAAATCATTTAAAGGCTTCAGCACAGCACAAAAACTTGACAAAGTAGGCATGCGTGGCTCCAACACATCAGAACTTATCTTTGAAGACTGCAGAGTTCCTGGTTTGTTTCTGTGTCAATGCCTTGAATAGCAAAAATCTTTGGTGTAGATGCTCTCCGCAGTTACAGAAAATGGCTGAAAGTAAACTTTGTTCTATATGCGCATAGTGTTTGATAATTACCTACTTGACTCATATATTATGATCATTATCATCATGTATATATAGGTAGGTATATATATATTTATATATGTACTTGTTTCCGTGCAGGTTGAAATATAGTTGATAAGATTACATCATTGTCTCACACTCGTATTTATACATGGCAAAGTATGCATTTTAGTTTAGTTTACTCTGTTGTCACGTGAATTGATATTGACGTGACCGTCTGGCGCAGCTGAGAACATGCTGGGTGCTGTCAACAAGGGCGTCTATGTCCTCTTCTCTGGCCTTGACTTGGAGCGGCTGGTGCTCGCTGGAGGGCCGCTAGGGTACTGTACACATCCTTGGTTGGCTGCCGCAATCCATAGTTGTAATTTTCGAAAATATATTTGAAAAATTTAATGTGTCTTTATTAAAAATTCGTACAGTTTTTCAGATTTGTTAACCAATATTTGTGTGTCGAAACAATTTTACTTGTCTATTAAATTTTTTCTTATAGTTTATCTGATTTGTTAACCAATACTGGCGTGTTGACGGGTATAGGTATTGCTAGTTATTCAATAGCATAACGAGTTTCAATTACAACTCTGGTTTAGTGAACGTAACTGAATTATATGCCATTCCCCGTCCCCAGGATCATGCAGGCTGCTTGTGATGTGGCCTTTGAATACGTCCACGTCAGGAAGCAGTTCGGGCGGCCAGTTGGGGAATTCCAACTCATGCAGGTTTGTTCAGTTCCGTTTTATAACTCCTCACAAATTCCTTGATATTGGTGATAGAAACCTAGCACACTTATGGGCTGTTTCTATTTGAGACAGTAAAACATAACTCACGACAGAGATGTCGTCGCATTTTCAAATCTAGAAATAAGTGACTCAAGTTCAATTTCATTTCTTAATGCAAAAATTAAGTTTACTTATAAATCATGATGTCGAAAGCATATAATTGAAGTTGTTGTTGTGCTTGTATCAGGGCAAGATAGCGGACATGTACACGTCTCTGAACGTGTGCCGCTCTTACCTGTACACCGTGGCGCGGGCCACCGACGCTGGCCACTGCAGCAGCAAGGACTGCGCCGGCGTCATCCTCTACCTCGCTGAGCAGGCCACGCAGGTCGCCCTGCAGGCCGTGCAGTGTCTTGGTGAGGCTTGGGTGCACAACCAGCAGTGATTCTTTCTTCTGAAAGCTGATTTTCTTTAAAATTTTATTATTATTGCGATTTATTGCATAAATGGTGAAGTTTATAAAGATAAGCAACTGTTTCTGTAAAGCCCATTTTCTGCAGATTTATAATAACTTCTTCTTTTAACAAACCGGATAAATATCGGACAATTTTTACTAATAATTGGTGAAATCTTTTCTTTCTTAGCTGATGAAACGTTGCCTATGTTAGCTAATGACTTATTTTTTATAAATATGATGCTAGTGGCTGCGGAGCAAGAGTTATACATCAGTTATAGGCTGCAATGATCGGCCATTTGCTGCTCATCATCTAAAGTTTACCGTGTTCTTAACGGTCATTCTGTCAATTTTTATGACAACACTAAATTACTGAGTAAAACCACGTTATATTTCTTCAGTTTTTCGGCCATAAAGCATCCATATAAGGAATACTGTACGGTTGAAATGGTTCATTAGATTTTTTCGTACCTGAAGATGTGACCAGACATAATTATTATCTTGCCCTGTCCAGGTGGGAACGGCTACATCAACGACTACCCAACAGGTCGCCTGTTGCGAGACGCCAAACTCTACGAGATTGGCGCCGGTACGAGCGAAGTCCGTCGACTGGTTATAGGGCGCGCGCTCAACGCAGAGTACAAGAACTGAGAAGCAAGACCTGCTCTTAGATCTTCCAACTAATAAATATTACGTGATTATTGCCTAACATGACAGTACTGCTCATCACCACTGGTGAACAGCGTTCACGCGTCAACATCGTGTTCGTCGTGGTCATGATGTCTGTGTAACGAGTAGCATTTGGTGGCACCTACCAGTCTGAAGCAAGTTTTTTTTTTCTTTTAAAGCGTAATAATATGAAACAATAACAGGAAACGTTGGTTTTGTATTATTCATAGCAGCCTAAAGTCAGACATGTGAATTATGTGTTGAGAGGTTAGATTGGAATTGGGTGCGTGATGAACTCCGGTCACGACCTATAAATCGGTCATTCACGCAGCATATAAAAGCTCTTTTACTAGCGCGAAAAAAAATTCAAAGTTTACGTCACAGTCAGAAATTAACACAAATTTCAATTAATACGAATTCACAACAATCCTAAATGACTAAAACATTCCGTTATGAATGTAAACATCCTAAAAAAAATCAGAAACAATTTACTAAAACCTTCGGCACGGACACCCTTGTCTTCCCACCCTCCCCTCACATTCCATCAAAAAGTGCTCCACAGTTTCCTTCTCATCCCCATCACACATAAAACATTTATCTTCCCTCTTCTCGCTCCACTTTTATGTACGTCCATTCACACCTCGCGCCCCTGCCCTAACACAAAACAGAAGGTCCCCACCTCTACTACAATCTTACATGCATTCATATTTTGGCATCGCTTTCATCTGATACAGTTTCAGAATGATATTTCCCTCCATTACTTGCTTCCACACCTTCAGCCTTTCACTCGCTTTCAGCCTTTCACTCGCTTATTTATTTCTCTTTTCCACTCTTTTTCATCCCACTCTATCCCAATCGCACCCCGTACTGTCACCACTGGGACCACCCATTCGTCCTTTGGCCCAGCGGGTCCTTGACGCACCCATGCTTCATGCATACCACACTTACGAACCGATGCACGACATCTACGTGCCCATTTGCTCACCTTTATGTTCCTCATATACATCTTTCGTGCCCAACGTTCATCGTCCATTCGCTCCAGTCTCACTACCTCAAAACTAATCTCATTCGTCTCTCCTTAAATGGAATTATCCTAGATTGAATTATCAATCTAACAATGACGTTGTGAAGCTTAGTTCCACAGTGGCCATCAGATAAGTTTTTAATGTGCACTCGTTATATTGGACAACAGTGATATTCCAAAAATTAACAAAAAGTCAGTTCGGCGTAATTGATTTGGTTCGAAGCTCATTCTAATGTAAAGCTAGTCCTTAGGACTAGTGGGTTTACATAAACATTGTGTAATTAGAAACACAGGTTTTGTCTTAGCCTAACAAACCTTAGCTAAAATAGTGTGTTCTAAGTACGAGTTGTGTGTGCTCTAGGCAGAGTATTTGTTAATCATGAAGCTGTAATGCTTGAATTGTAAGATGATGAGAGTCTGGCCTACCGTAATTTGTTCAACGATTGGATTACTTTGACGTAATATTCATTCAGCTAGCACACGTGTATATAACACAACTCATTTGTCCAGTATCATAACCTGTACTCCTACATCTATCAATATTTCTCTTCGAAATCATTTTAAAATACCGTCGACTTATCAGGGCACAACAGGTCAGGCTCACAACATATGACGACCACGACGCGATAAATTTCACTATCCATATCTTAAATTAGCGTATACATGTAGGATTTGAATTTGTAAAGCTTCTATGATCTGGGAAAGTTAGGTTCTCTCATCTTGTTGACCAAGAAGTTTGTTCTGTATTTATTTGAACCATCTTAATTATTGCCTCTGATACTCGAGTACTCCCTTGAGCTCTTGTGATGCAGTGGTATGGCAACCTGCGACACGGGTTTGTGCATAGTAGAAAGCTCAGCTCATGACCAACCCAGCCATTCATCCAATTCTGGTTGGTAACCAAATATCCGGCGTGTCATGTGTTGTTTAATTCAAATGTGTTGTTTAATTCAAATAAAATAGTTCTGGTGAGGCAGTCATGGTTATAGAACTACACGTAGGCTTAGTGCCCTTAAAAACTGACCCATCACCCGCCTCCCTAGTCGCCACTACCAGGAGGTGCAATTGCAACAACAAGTACAGTGTATAAAATTTACAGAAGGAGCGCACAAAATTAAAGATCTGTTCTCTGCAAAATTTCAAATTAAAATGGCATCTTTTCAAGTTGTCTTATTTAGCTTCGTTGTTATAATCGTAGCGCTTTTCATATCGTTATCTAATGAAATATGTTAACGCATTTAGCTGGTACAAATTAATGTAGCTTCGATAGTATATACTGTATACAAAAATTCTATTAGTGAGATAAGCGTGTGTTCTTTGTTTGGAAATTAATACAGAGAATAAAAATTGTCTGCTAATCGTGAATATTCTTATACCGTAATCCGTTTCTAGTAGGGAAGAGTAGCTGCTGTGGCTGTTCTTTTAGCGTTTTGACGGAGAGCGATCTGAGCTGGCATTGTTGAGTTCATGCGTGTAGTTAAAAAGCTTCAACGAAACCTGTTCTGCACTTATTGACTATGAGGGCATGTGGTCTAAAGACCTACAAAAATCCTGCGATTTATGAGCTTTTGAAAATCTACGATTTATGAGCTTTTTGAATTGAATATTGAATTTCGCACTTAGGGTATGTGCAAAACTAATTCCTGGCGAGCTGTCCTAGCAGGTCAACGTTTACGCATTCAGAAGACTTCAAGAGGTCTGAGATTCGGTCGGCGTTATCTGCAGCCATTTCAGTCTAAAATGAACGGGAAGGTGGTATACAGGAGCGCCCATAGTGCTGCCTTTAGAAGCGCTATTGTTTTCCACAGTGTTAAACCACGCTCGGTGTTGTCTCTTCCCAGGTGCAATAGCCTTTAGCTTTGAGCTCATTTACGTGGAGCTGCCATCGCACTGACCTTACGTAAATTCTGAATGAATCATCATTCAACGACTATTTTTCTAAGGGTGTAGTGAGGTTGAATATCCGAATATCCTTCCACATTCGGAGATATAGTATTTACAATAACAAAATGGCGATAAATGTACCTAGTTTACTCTCTTGGGGATAAAGCGTAGAACCGGCGCACAGCATTACGTTGAGCCACAGAGCACAACTCCGTTTTCCTAAACTAAACAAGTCAAGGGTTAGCAACCTCAAGTAAAGAAATTTTCTAGCACTTTGATAAGGCGAAGAAAACTTCTTTCATCGTGGTTTCATTTGCTGTTGCACAACGCTTACTAGACGTGTACACGCCTTTATGATGTTTAAAAGGTCTAGTGTAACTGTCTTGCTCCAAACTAACCATACTTACAACCTGTTGGAATTCCTCAAGATTACTTTGGTGATCGTTCCGTATTTATCCTTTAAGAAAATTGCAGGCGTTCCATGCAATACTGAGCTGGCGAAAGGTTCCGCTGCTAGCTTGATTCGTTTCTTCAATATCGTGGTTGCTTCTTATCCGCTCGATCATTGCTTCCATACCACTCATCCAATCGGGCTCTCCAAGCTCCCGCGTTGCCACGTCGCCATCTTTGTAGCATACTCGCGCCTTGGCTTACTCTGTCGTTCCTACACATTTGGATATTTTGGTGGTAATGCAGAAAGAAAGAGCAAAGCAGAAAGGACTACGCTATTGCCAAAAGCTTCTCTCATCAGCGAGAAACCAGTATTTAAGAAAATAATTCCACATTAACGATGTTGATCCCTACGAAGTGCCGGCAAAGCAGTGGTGTGCAGATTTTGCACGCCTGCCTCCCGTTTCACACGATGATTTACTAAAATATTTGGTGTCAGCAATACAGAATTCAAGGCATATGAGACGCTTAAAACTTTGAAGCAATTTGTGAATGGATGGGTGCGGGAGATATAAACCCACAAACCAGCAAACTGCAACAACACTGTCATTTCTGGCAAAGTGAGGAATATTGGATCATTACAATGTAATCTGATCTGTATATATGATTGCTTTTTATTCATACTTATGTAGCTTATCTAGTGGCAACTTGGCAAGTGACAGATTTTGCCCCTGGAAAATATATAGTATCGTATATTACAAATATTAACGGCTTGTTCACTGATTTACGATACGTATATCAGTGCGATACGTAAACTGATACGATATACACGGCATTCGTGGCTGATAAACTGAAGAAACCATTCCATTGTCCAATTTTCTGTTTAAATAGTCTTAAGAACAACTGGTACATCCAACAACGGCACAGCAGCGTCCCATCTTCAAGCAAAAACTTCAAAGAGAGATAAATGAAGTAGATTGAACACGTGGGCGAAAGCTAGACCATGCTACAAATATGGCAGCCTATCCCACAATGCATCTCACGATTTGGTGCCATGACGTAAACCTTTTTTTACGATTCATTGGCAATATCAAATCATTTTTTTCGAATATTCGACAGACACGTACAGCAAACAAAGTATATACGATTTGTAAACCTTTACAGGTTGCGAGTAATCAGAATTGAATTTATATGTATATGAATGCATATCAATGCTCATCACAGATCACACTGTTAGGCCTAATTTCTCATCGGCAATGTTTAAATTAAACTTAACAGATCACACTGTTAAGTTTAACACAAGTTCAATTTCTCCTCGGCAATGTTGTCAAGCTAATAGTAAATGCCGCTAATCCGCGGGCTGCAACAGATCGTTAATTCGCCACTTCATTGCAATCGGCGTTTAATGCACACAATTGAGCCGGTGTTTGTTGTACAAATTAATATTGAAGTCAACTATAAACATGTTTTCTCTCAAAAAATGTTGTCGTATCACTCCACAACTACAAGTGGTGAGTTGTTACCTATACTTATGTGGATTAATTTAATTTATATGCTATCGTCCGTCAATGCCCTATCTAGTATCTGCTAACCTATCATGCCGCTAAGCGTGAAGCGTCTAATATTGATACAGCACACTAGTGTCTGGCGGGTCTGACTTTCAATGGAAACAATGAATTTTGTTAACAAAAAAGAACCACAGCTTTCTGAGCAATATGAACAGTGGCAAAGGCAATATTAAAATTACCTGCTATTTATGGAGCTTGCAAGATTATTGTATAAGTTATAATAAGTATTATAGTATATGTCACAAAATGTCAGTGCTAAGCGTGGAAACTGGAATATACAATCTACCTGATACCTGTAGCTGTAGGGGCAGTAGGGCCGTGATTAGAGCTTTCCTGCCATTTCTGGAACTGCACGATTTCTGCCAGATGCGTTACCTCCTATCTAAATTCTAATTGTTTACAAAAGTGCACAATTGGGCTATAAGATTCCAATTGTTTTGAAAATTTGTCACATTGGACTGATTGGAGCCGTGAGATTTCAAAAACAAGTAGAAAAATGCCAATCCTGGAGCCTCAGTGTCACTGGTAAAATTGTAAATTAGAAGTAAATGTGACAAGGGTAAACACGTACCGTATTTTCCAACACTCTAAGGACGTAGCAAAAAATGAATGGCTATAAAAAATACACCGTATGCGCAACTCAAGTTCTGTTTGCTTTACATCACTCTCAAAACACCGCACTACGTGCCAGCAACAATGAAACGTCACAAAATGTTGCCATATTTATTTAAAAGCCTTTAGAATGCAAACCTACAAAATCCATATATTCCGACACTTGCCATTTTTGGAACCGCAAGTTTACCGCAAGTTTTCATGTCAACCGGAACCACAGCAGAGAGTATTTTATGCAGCTAATGAATTTCGCAAACTTTGCTGGAAGAGAGATTATTGAATTTTAGAAAAAAGGTGGGATAATTCAATGAAGGCTGGTGGTAGAGCTGCAATCTTGATACTTTATTGTGATTCGTGCTATGATAACCTACGTAACAATTTTCATATGATCGTTATAATTTTTGCACATTCAAATTACACATGATATAACATAACGCACCCAGATTTGGAAACCATTATTGCTCAAATGAAGCAAAAATAAACGACAGACCATTGACTTATCTTGCAAATATATATATATTCATATTAGGTATCACATAGCATAATTACGCTCTGTAATTATGCCATATTGACCTAATTTGTATAGTCCATTTACGCGCATTGTTATTAGGTATTGATCGTGTTGATTTTGCCGGCCGGGAGGATGTCGGTAATGTAGTCCCAACATTGGCATGCAGGAATGCAGCAGGATCATACTGTTGACATACAGGTTCATACCCTACTTGCCTCAACCAGTCCATTCATTAGAAGGCACCGATGGCACATCTAAAGCCATGTTGCCTTCTTTAGTTCTGTACATAATTCATGTCAGATTGAATTGTGATCCATGAATGAATATTCATTACTGTGCTGACTCTTAGAACCTGAGTCCTGAGGTGACGCATTAGCAATCTAGTTAACTCGTATCCAACCACAACACAGTGCGGATACACGTTTGTGTGTACGGTCAGTGTGATTACGTAATTTGCATTGCCGCACGTCCATATTTAAACTATTTTAGCTCTCTAAAAGTACGGCGCTGTCGGCGCACTGCGCATTTTTTTTACCGGCATAGTACGGCGCACCGCGCAGGTCATTAAAATGACAATATAAAATCCCGCGCACCTGGCACATCTTCCTGACCTTGGTGTGTGTCTAATTCCAAGCTATGTTGGAATTAGTTTTTATGTATCTAAAACCGTCTCTTAACTTAATCATCCATTAATTTATTTACCACTTGAAATCAGCAAATACAAGTATACTTGAAGGATTCCTAATATATTCACAGACTTATTTAACCCTTTACGCCCTGGCGTGACGAATTTGTCACACAGAAAAAAACATCAGTTTTCCAACAATTTCACGTTTTCTGTCATTTTTTCGTAAAATTCACAGGAATAAAAAAAGTCTTAGATTTATTTTTTACATAGGTATGTGTACCAAGTTTCAAAGTTATCTGTCGGTAAGTAACCGAAATAAAATTTCCAATTTCCAATGGCAATGTCCAATTTCTTATGGAAATTCTATTTTGGTTAATTACTGACAGATAACTTTGAAACTTAGTACACATGTAAAAGATAAATCTAAGACTTTTTTGTTCATGGGAATTTTTCCAAAAAAGTGAAAGAAAATGTGAAATTCTTAGAAAACTGACAAAAAGGGGGTACTGTAGAAATCTATCACCTCCTATGATTTTTGAGCTACAACATCGAGACGCATTTTGGATAGGTCAGAATGTCAGCTTTGGAGTGAGACTCAAAACCGAAAAAGTGAATTTTACGATTTTCATCCCAGAAATTCAGGGCGTAAAGGGTTAAAAGTCTCAAACCATAATATTCTTTCTACACAAACAGTTTATCACTATTTGGTAGAGCAAGGTCAACTATCAACTTTGACACATTTTTCGATGTTCTCACTGGGTGACTTGCACTGTCTCTCTTTGGATCTCAACATTTTCCTGCCAGATGGCCCAGACCTAGTGTTTTGGTAATAGTATGGCGCGCAAAAGTATGACGTCACTATTTCAACCATCAACAAATGCATGGAACTAAGAAAAAGCTTAATATAAAGGAAGAAAGTCAAGAAGTGTCAGAATTACCCACGATGTTGGAATATACCGCGTTTACCCAATATTCTGGCCAGGTCAGGATGAGTCCTAAAATTTTCTGATATATTGTGGCTCTATTATCATATAATTTTAGTGGGTATGGAATCTAGCAGCTCTAATGACTAGTGACATGTATTATTGTTTGATTGAAAATATTGTGGTTTGCACTTTGCAAACACGTTTTATATAATTTTCAACTTCCCCATTCTGCATTACTTCAACATTCCTGCCAAAATATCCTGTAGAACGTAATAACAAGTCAACTTTAAACATTTCATTAAAGACAGGGTGTGTACTGGTCATGGAAAACCTGGAAAGTCATATAATTTAATTTTTCATTTTCCAGCCCTGGAAAGTCATGGGATTTCATTTCAGGTTATGGAAAGTCATGGAATTTGCAAATAAATGGAAAAAAAGGAAGTTTTTTCAGTGCTGCATGTGTTAATCCATTAATGCCAACTGCCAAGCGGTTTCATTAGGAACCAGCAGAGAAAAATGGATTCATAATAAAATTGTAAAATAAAATAAATATACCAATGGATGCGTAAGTTTGATACACATCTTGTACATGTTTTGGCAAAGTTTGGTTTTGCTGCACTAACTACTCTCTTTTCAGTTAACATTCAAAGATTACTAGAACCAGGTCATGGAAAAGTCATGGAATTTTCTAAATACCGGTACACACTCTGTGAGGATTGCCTAGTTGCATTTACGTCAGAGTGGTCCGATTGCATTATCACGTTATTCATGTATACAGTTGCCACTTGAGTGAAGACAAATGTTAGTGTTGCTCTACCATCAGACTTTTTAGGGTAACATTAGATATTTGCAGTAACACATGCATGAGACTTACTGACTTAGTAAATAAGTTTGCAGCTCATAAATGGCATTCCATGGTGGCCTGGTCAAAATATGGAATTCATGGCTCAAAGAAATGGAATCACAGCTCCATTAAATGGAATCACAGCTCCAATAAATCGAATCACAGCTGGCAAATCCATAGAACAATGGCCCAAAAAATCTAGTTGCAGCTTGCCAAGTAGATATATTCTATGCCTGATTCTGGCTGCATTTGATCCCATACTTCCAACAAAATCTTACTATTTGTAGCACAATTAGCAACATCATATCAGTTTTTGCCCAGTTAAAAAAAATGTATTGTCTCTTTAGTTTGAATGCATATACTTGGTTTGTCACATCCATTTTTTACGATATTTAATGCATTTTTATTTTGAAAGAAATTATGGAGAATTGTGACTATTCCTTCTATAATCTATCTATCCCTTTGTGTGTGTGATTGTGTTGTTCTATTTCATCTGTGATGGTTTTGGAATTTAGAAATGATAACAATTTATATTTTGGATATTAGAATAATACCTACTAAAAATGAATAAAGATTAGTTGTCTACTCATAATTAACTTTTCAAGTGAAAAAATTTTTTTATCTGATATCATAATTTTAAGCTCTTTTTTAATCAAAACATGCTGTCCTGAAGGATGAGTGATATAAAATGTTATCATGAATGCTTAGGATTAGAAATAACATCTTATTCCTCACATCTAAATTTCTGCAATTTCTTTTTTAGGAAATTTCACAATTTGCTTAGATTTATACTTCACAATATAAATATATTGTTCAGAATATCTTGATCCCATTTGCAGGTGGGAAGCAGAAGTGTGCACTGCTCTTACACCACAAGACAAGTCTGTAAGATGACTCGGGTGAGAGTGGTTGACAACAGTGAGATCGGCAAGGCTGCCATGTTGGATGGGAAACCTCCTAAAATTATCCATATTTATTCAAAGATAAAGTACGGTGTCACAGGTGTGTACCATATTCTTGCATTCTTATTGTTCAACTTTATTTATAAGCCGCATGTTATATCGCAGTGTTTCAATGATTTTGTTTGTAATGAAACAGCTGGCTTAGAAAATTTCTGATAAATACCTATACTATACAAGTATATTGTTAATGTAAGTTCATGGAAAGTTTTAATTACTTCATTCTAGTGTACATTTGAATGAGGTATGATGTGTCATAAATCTAGTTTTCCCTAACATTTTAGACCTGAATTTGTTTGCTTTATTTAGGGGATAAAGTGCTTGTCACCGTCAAAGGGGAAATGAAGAAAGCTATCATAGTTGGCTGCCATCAAGAACAGAAAGCTTTCATCCCAAAATTTGACAGCAATAATGCAGTACTTGTAGATGAAAATGGTAAGTAATGCTTAAGTATTATTGGTTTTGTCTAAAATGTGCATTGAATGAATATATTATTTATATTCACATTGTTCCAATGAAGATAAACATCAATGCCATGACCACTTGATATTATTGCTAGTACTTTAACCTGTTCTCATGGATGCTGACTGACGATTGTGCCAAGCTATGCCTACCTAGCACTTAATCCTAAGATTATTTTGTTCGACAGAGCATTGTTGTAATTTATCTAGCTGTCTTTGGAGGCTCGAATTCTTTTGCACCTTTAGAGAGAGAAGTAAACTAATGCAGTTTTGATCCATCAACTGTGTTGTTTAAATCGGTCAAAGCATGATGGTTTTTTATTCGACGATCTCTTACATGGTGTGTAAACTTATCTCGAAGAAATTTCACTCGAAAAGCTATCTATTTATTTCACAGTAATGTTTTGTGTGTACATCATGCAATGTAGATGCGATTTCTTTGTAGAAGTGACAAAACCTAGTCTGGCTTCTATAAAACATTAAATTTTTCAATAATAAAATAGAGCTGGTGTCCATCCTAGAGTCCAGATTAGAACAATTCACCAAATTCTTACAGGATCACCACTCGGCACCCGCATCCTCGCGCCCATACCCACCTTCCTGCGCAAGAAACTGAAGGAAATGAGCAGATCTAAGGGGGCAGACTACACCAAGCTGCTCTCTATCGCCACTAGATATGTTTGAATATAGTTATTACACGTAAAAGTATTTCGGTAACAGGGCAAGGGCGCAATGAGTGTTTTTTTTTGAGAAGTTCACAATGCGTAATTTTTTGTCTGGATGCGCAGAACTTAAGCAGAACCTATTTCTAGAGGGGAAAGACTAGTCGAATAAAATTTTCCTGCGGTTTTGTTATCAAAATTTTAGAATTCAAATTGGGGGATAAGAAATGGCTTGCTTACTCTCTTGTTACGCTCTAGTTCTCTCTAAGCGAGATGAGTCTAGTCATTACGAACTTCGAACATAGATTTTTCAGAGCGTCAACCCCGGCACAATGAGTATGTTGTCTTTCGCCCAGTTTATTTTCTCTGTTGTTCTATGATCAATTACATTGCTTGCCTTAAATGCAGCCCTTAGAATCGTGCCATGCCATTTGTGTATTTATCTCATGCGTTTCATTGTTGAATTTCTGTAATTATTAAGAAAAACTTTAGTTCAGTAAATAATTTTAATGTAGTTGTATATTCTTTGCTTCGCCCTACCTCTCTGTAATTTAAATACTTCAACGTAACTTTCCATTTTACTTTCTACAAAATCTTCACGTGATTTTAGCTAAAAGTTTTACGTACTTCATTTTTTTTCATACACTTTACGTTCTTATGGAATAAGCTAAAATTTCATCAGTCTTTCTATGAAAGTTTCGTTCATTTAATGTCTCAAGAGCGATCACCCATCACTGGAAATATTCGTGTCGTTCTTCGTATGTGCTGAATTTAGTTTAGTTTTCTAGAGGTTTATTCACACTGACGAATAAATTGCTGGGTTTATGTCTTCGGCTAGAGATATATCGTACACTTGCTTTACTTACTGTTACGGGCTGCAGGAAAATGCTGTTAACACGAACGCTCGATGAGAAATTTGAATAGAAACTCTATCGGATGCCGACCTATGCATGACGTTTCGTATTCTGGGTTCGCATGAGATTGCAGATTGATACATTCTACTGATTGATTAGTTCGACATTTCTATAGAGTCTCCTATCTGATTGATTTGTCCGCAAATTCGGGAGTGTTCTATTACTGTTCATGAGGTGTTGAGAATTGCCCAGTTGTTTTGGCCCTCTAGTTAATTGAGCGTGAATCTCGTGAGGTGCGATGCTAGACAAATGGTCCCGTTGATCAATGGAACTCAGAATCTTGGCTTCTCTCCAACTTCAAGGAGGATTGGCAACCTCTTGACAAACATTACAGCTATGTTCTATTTTTAGCTAATAAATTAATACTCTGATTTCCAAGTCTCACGTTTCAGATTATCAAAATTTCTTGACAAATTTCAAGCCTCTTCCGCCTATCAGAATGGTGGAAATTTATAAATCATCACATCCAATGTAAAATCACATCCAATGAACGATAAAAAATTTATGAGGCTGTAATATCTGGCTTGCATGTCAAGAGCTTGTGATGTTTATCTAAAAGTGCTGTAAACTTTGTCTTCGTCAAACCCTGCCGTTTGAAATGATGGCCTGTTTCAAAATTTTCGAAGTTCGCGATGAATCTTGGAGCCTATACGGAGCGCGCTTCTCTACCTCCACTAACATGTCGTCTGATCTTATCCGATGAATAGCTGGTCCATAAATTATTGTGCGATAAAGATCTAAGTCTGTGATTACCTGCAGCGACTTGCGAAGATTCATTATTTAACCGTATTACGCATGCATTCATAATTCCAACTCGGCTTTTGCCGAGTGTAATGTGCGTGATTCTCAGTATGAGTAGTTGAGGCGAGAATGGAGCATCCTGAGGACGCAGTTCTCCTTAACCCCACTACAAAAACGTGTTTAACAGTTGATACTCGCACTTCTGGTGATTTTATTCTGCATCATTTGTCAGTTGTCACGCAATGAGCACTTCGGGTTCATACGAGATCTCACTCACTTTCTTGGTCAAGTTGTACAGTCAAGTCTTACTCGAAACAAGCCTCGGTGATCTCCAGATGATGTGTAAAGCTGACAGGAAAGCTCGGGAAAGTGGAATACCTTATAATAGTTACTTGAGAAGTCCTTAACTTATTTTCATCTTTTAATGTTTTACCAGGTATTTGGCTACAAAAATTATTTTGATATCCCGCCGAAGGGCTTGTCGTAGCCGTATATTCCATAGAAGGAAAACTCCATGTGAAGTAGGTTCCATGATAACGCTTCATACGTGTTCGATAATGTGTTTACTTCATTTATAAAATGCACCTTGGCTCAGCCGGGGTAATTTTTCTTTTTACGTTTGTCCAGCTTTTAACATAACATACGGTAACATAACATAATGATGTCGGCGCTGAAATGTAGGCTTGATGTGGCCTGTCGCCGATTCTTTTCCTTTTTTACGACGGTTCTAGCATATGAAAGAAGTGTGTCTTCGGTAAAACAATGAAATGCTAAAATGGCTAATGGCGCATTTTTGCTGATCACTTCGAAATTTTTTATTAGCCTCATCAGGCGTATGCGTTCGAAAATCTCTTGCCTTGCATATCAAGGAGTAAGAAGGCTCATAACTAGACAGAAGGGAAGCAACTGTGCTAACTGATGATTTAATTTTTTTTCTTTGACTAGTTTACTGACCAAAATGAGTAGCTGCTGATCATCCACCAATTAGTGAGGTTGGAGGCACTTCTAGTCAAAACCAATATATCTCTGCATACCTTTTTATTTATTTTTATTTCGTTCCAGTAATATATGAATTAAATTTGTCAATAAAAATTATTGATAAAAGAAGATGAATCAAGTTGAATTTTTCAGTCCTAGGTAATTTGAATCTCGCTTTCCTCTGAGATACCGCATTTGTTCACTACTCCGAAGCTCACGCCTCGTTTGTTAGCGCCGGCCTTGTTTTTGTGCACAGGACGCAGCCGCGACATGTCTGCCGTAACTCGTGGTCGCTGCGACAGAAAAGTTCGAATGTTTTTATCTAAGAGCTGCAGTCATGCTGCTGTGAGCACCCTGGTCTCTTATAACGCTATCGTTATTGTCTGTGAATCTGGCTTACACGGAAACATGTACGGGCATTTTCGAAAAGGTTTCACAACTTTTTCACGTTGGTCGCGATCGTTTTCAGTATACGTCCGCTAGTCAGCAGCACAACAGGCGTCGTCTCGGTGACCTCGAGAGCGCATATTATTTGTTAGGTTGTCAACCTTTTGTTGATGCGTTGTGCGTTACCTTGTGCTTATGTCATACTCGCATGAGTGGAGCTGAATCAGCAAACCTCGCTCTTAACACGCGTGCCCCACATGAACCTAGCAATAAAGTTTTAGTTGTGACCTCCATTTTTTAAGGTTATTGTTTAATGTGATCCATGAAAACGGATTATGCGAAGGCGTTTGGCGTTGTGACTCTTCGGAAGTGTGTGCCACTTTTATTTATTTGATTTGAACATCATGTGAAGCTCAGAGTAAATAAAGTTCTGTGAAGTGAAGGCAGATTTAAAATTCGAAAAAAAAACATTTTCTATGGTGCGCTTTCTCCCAGATAATAATGCATGTCTGGTAAACTTCATTGTTAACTGGTACGTTGTTTCACTTGATGCACGTGAATCGACTTGGATGTGATAAAATTTCCGAGTAAATCATTGGAATTGAAGCTGCAAAATTTATTAATAATTTCTGGATAAACTTTACATTTGCGAATAAAAGTAATTACTTTTCCTGGAAGCAGTGCTGAAATCCACATCCATGTCTATACGAATTCATTTTCTTGAGATGTCGTATAAATTATTGCGAAATCGATAACTGAATTGGGAACGCGAATCGTTTCCTTCAATACCGGTAAAGAGATTCTTTACTTTGACTATTTATTTAAAGACTTTAATATAAAATAGCTAATTATTATTTTTTTATCTAAGATAATGTGAAATTTGCAGTTACTTATAATTTTTATACTGTCAAGTAACCAATGCTAATTGTTTATCGGCTTTAACGATTCCTCATTTGAGATTTGTATTAAATTTGCGCTTAAAATTTTCAAATACGTTAAATTATTACGTAGTCAAATTAATTAGTGAACACCAACAAACATCATCAGATATGCGCAACAACACAGGAATTCAACGTTCAAAGCTTCAGCATAAGCCAAATTGTCTTGAGATGTACCGTCGAGATCATTAGCTAACATGAAGCGTTTTTTGGCCTCGTGAGCCTTGCCACTGTCCGAGCAAGTGAGTCGCGTTGGTCAGTTTTTTGAGGCTCGTTGTGACCGCGACGCTCGGAGCTCCACATTCTTCTTGCCAACGCGTGAACGTGAAATACTGCATCGCCTGCACCATCAGACTGTTGCCTAAGCTTCGTGTACATGAGCATGCATCTTTGTACACGGCATAGATGCGGTTTTTATGTGTGTGCAGCGACGCTGCGCTTAGAAAAAATTCCCAGGTGGATGTTGCATGCCAGTGTACAGTGCACACAAGGAAGTAGAAAAATGTCTATTTCATAACCGTCGTACTCGTCTTGAGGAAGAGTTACGCTGCGTTCACAGTGTTCCTTAAAGCGCTGCTAGTCTCACTTTACAGCGGAAGCAGTGTTTCTTCTTTGAAGGATTCGATAATTATAATCATTTTATGATTCTAAAAATGGCTTTACAATGATCCACTTGGGGCCTGTCTTGGGCTAGATTTTATAATGCAAATGGCGATTTAATCTCGTTTATATTAAGTAACAATACTCCACTGAAGTCAAAAATGTGATTCCATCGAACCGAAATCTTTATATTTCCAAGAAAACGTCAGCATCTTACAACTGCTGTTATTGGGGCGCATTGCTGCTTCCTGCATGACGGCTGCCATTGGTGCAGTATACTCCTATTTCTGTCTTGTTAAGTTGTTACGTACGATTTAAGCTAACATAATTAAAGTTTGAAGCTTGACTCTGTTAAAAGATTTTTGTTGTCTCTATTTTCTCAGTACTAATAAGTATTTTTTTACGTAAACTTCTCATAATAATCATAGTACGAGACACACTAAGCATAGTAATGCGAGTAATATTTTATTGAATGAGCGCTTTCATTAAACTCTATGGTATATATAATTGATATTTGAATTTCCTCCTAAATATTTGACGGCCATTGGGAGTGAATGCAACTCAGGGAAGGAAGCAAGCACACCCGTGCTTGCCTAGGAGCGCTTCTCGCTCTGCCAAGTGGTTTGATCGTTTACAACTAAACTGCCGCGCCAGTCTTCGTATGGCATGTGCGTCGAGCAAAAAAGTGCGTCATCCGGTAGAGTTTTTTCGTTATTTTGAGTCGGATGTTGCGCTCAGCGTTGTAGTTGATCGATTCGTTTGCTTAAATACACGATTTAACACTTTCCTAATTCGTAACATTGTTAAACCATTAGATTGCGATCCCATCCGCATTATTTTTTTCAGTATACCTTCTCCTTAGAATTAAGTCTACATGTGAGGCAGTATAACACAGCGTTGAGGTTATGCCTAGCATGAGTTTGATGCAGAGGTATGACGGTCTCCTACCAGTACGATGTTGCTTCGTCGACATCTGGGGGGTTCACGCGGCTGCTCTTCAAATGGAAAGGTTCTCTCTACAAGCTTGTCTATAGAGAACTTTTTCTATTCGTCGTGGCCTACGGTGCCATGAGCATCACCTACCGACATTTCTTTACTGAGGATCAAAAGAGGTGAGAACATATGATATAATACAATTTAATTATCAAAATCTGAATTCTTACAGCGTTTAGATTGATTTACAGCGTCCGGCAATCATTTTTCAGCTTCCCTTGTCTAATGTGCTGTAATTTTTTCCATATTCAGTTAGAATTAGAATAAAGTTGGCATTGATTAGAATTTGAGCATGAGCTCATAATTCTTGTTATAAAGTACTCTCACAACTTATTTAATTCATTAAATTCACAGCTATTATTGCATCTTAGATTTCACGGACCTTAGAGATATTGATGATGAGTATCTTCTTAGCAATATGTACTTGAGTATAACGTTTACACTGCTTGAAATCTTCGCTAAAAAAAAGTTTTCATGCAATGCTAGATTTTCATGGTTGCAAGCCCGACGTTATGTTAGTGAACTTTTACGCAGATCGTTTGAGCGCGTAGCCCTGTACTGCGATACGTTCATGAACTACATTCCCCTGTCCTTCATACTCGGCTTCTACGTATCCTTCGTGGCTTCGAGATGGTGGCAACAATACATGGCGATTCCGTGGCCGGATAAGTGAGTCATGATACTGCAATAACTTATGGCCGTATTTAAGGACACTCGATGTCTTGACGATTATTGGTAATTTGCATGGAGTTGCCCACAAAGCTGTTTCGTGACGATGCTCAAACATGGGGAATTTTTGACTGAGATGCAACGAGCGTCATTGCAGATTTGAATAACGGCAAGTGATTAACTGTCGATATTTTAGGATGACTGTAGATATCAGTGTGAATATTTTTACGTGGAATTTAGATTGATAAGATTTAATCGGCATGCTACTACTTCGAAAAGAGTGTTGAAGTGGAAATTTTGAAAGGCTTAGGCAAAGGACATTTTTTAAATGAATCCTATAACGATCGCAAGTGTGAACAAGCTGAGTTGATTGAAATTTGTATAATAAATCATATATTATCTCTAGGCTCAAGTTAGTCTTGGATTGGTTTACCACTCATTCATTACGTAAATTTTCATTCGTGCATATCAAGTACCGAATAGTGAGCCAGGATATTGTAGCCAAGAAGAATGTGCTAAAATGAAAAATTATTTATCAAGCGAAAGCTTATGGGAAATATTTTATGGCACATTCATTTTTGTACATGCGTATTTTATGCCAGTACATTTTAAAGTTGTCTTTATTTTCCTACTATTGCATGTAACAAGCCGTGTTTTCATAGTTTTCCTGCATGACATTTTACTTCATTACACGATAATCATTTAATTTTGTTGCTCGGCAGGCTGCTGCACTCTATAGCAGTGCACGTATCAGGCTACGACGACCACGGCCGTATGCTGCGACGCACGATGGTGCGCTACCTCAACCTCAGCCTCGTGCTCGTGCTGCGCTCCATATCGTCGGCCGTTAAGAGGAGATTCCCTACCTTCGACCACATAGTCGAGGCAGGTGCGGTGGGGATCCATTGTTGCAGTGCATTGTCCGTGTGCAACATGATGCAATACTAACATTAAGGTATACACTTTCATAACAATCGGAAAATTATCGCAGACGTAATTGTCCTTAGCCGCCCTCTACAAGACACGACGTGTCTACGAACTTAATACGAGTAGGCAGGCCTACACTGTGCCCATGTTTTCGCTTTATCTTTCTTGGTGTCAAGCGAATCACTTGAAATCACAGATAATTGGTTGGAAAAATATATCTGTACAACTTTTGCAGGAGAACTTTCGATCCAATAATTGAATTGAACTTCTTGTGCGATGATGCTTTTGGTTGCTATATTCGTATAATGATCTACAGGCTTCATGACCAGCACGGAGCTACAGCTGTACAAGTCTGTACCGAGTACGGAGTTCAACACCTACTGGGTGCCGTTCACGTGGTTCACAGCTCTTGTGCGAGAGGCTTCCCTAGAGAAGAGAATTATTGATCCATATGGAGCCAAACTTATTATGGAGGTGAGACTCATCGTGCATGTGCTTCTATGTCTTATTGTTCCGAGTTTCAGAGGTAAACTTATAGAAGCTATTATAATTTAGAATTTGCACCTATCGCTAACCACTTGTAACAGGTGTAATTTCTGCCACTGATTTAGGAAGTTTCATGTCTTCATTGCGTGAGGTAATTATTTGGTGTCACTATTTATGCCTTTTTTCCAGCAGGAGTTCAATGACTATCGACAAATGTGCGGCATGCTGTGGAGTTATGATTGGGTGTCCATACCGCTAGTTTACACGCAGGTGAAATAGTTATCATGCGTTGTCTCCAGCGTTTCTTGTTTTCACTATATTCTTCACGAACTTCAGAACTTCACTAACGCACCACGAATTTAAACACTACGTTACTGTAATCGATGGCTTGGATTTCACCTTGTATCGTGTGAACTGATAAATGGTATCTCTAGTTAAACAAGATCTTCGTCATCCGACAATCACAGTCTGATCAGTGTGTGCCGTTTTTCTCGTTCACCAATAAATCTAATTTCTTATGCGTCAGTGCGGCAGTTTGGTCATTGGATGTTTTGAGAATTCGTTCATTTCTATAGGCAGGGTGGCCCAGTGTTTAAAGTTCAGAGTACCAGGATTGGCGCAGAGGCGCGGGTTCGATCCCAGCTCTGTGCGCCAGTTTCTGGTCAGAATCGGCGAGGAGGCCGGGCGGTTAAGCACAGCAGAATTGGAGCAGTGAGTTGCGAGTTGGAGACCGCAACAAGCCAAGCTGTGAATGTTCAGCGATGTTAAGAATCGGCGACAGGTCTACGGAATCGGCGACAGGTCTACGGCCTAATAAACGCTGAAACCGCTATTATTATTGTATAGTTGCGACAATGTTACTTTTCTTTAAATTGCCGGTTCGCTGATTGTTACTGAATTGAATTTTTTGCTGAGAATCAGTTCTGAAATCTTTCGGAAAGTTGAGACTTTTGCTAATTAAAATCTGGAGCCAGCTTTGTCGAAATTTCCACGGACGTTATTTGCTTGCTTAATTATCTTGCGTCACTGATCACGCGGTCGAAAAAATTGAGACTCTTTTCAAACAAAGTAAAATATTCTGTAATTGTAAATTTATCGAAACGCAGTTCCTTATTTCTTTATACTATAAATCATCTTGGAAACGAATATCTAATCAAGTTGTTGGTATATTCATCTCATCTAGCTTATTTCGTTTTCTGATTATAACCCTCAACACAACTTACATGTAGCCAATTGTAACGTAACAATTCCTGTTGCATCTGTTCGTACTGTCCTTGTCTTGTTGCAGACATTCCTGGAGTTCAGATCCAAGTGTGGTTTGCTGTGGTGCTATGACTGGGTGAGCATCCCTCTCGTGTACACTCAGGTGACTGTCTCAACGCTAATATTTTGACAGCGTCAAGCGTACATTTAAATGCATGCTGCAAACCCTCGTAAATGACCGATAATAAGTTATTTTTGCCAATTTGCAGCTTTGTAGCAAGCAATTCTTTTTCTGCTAGGTACAATGTACTTGAACATTTATTAGTCGCAAAAATTTATTTATTCGTTAAATAAAATGAAATTTATGAAAATTATTCTCAACTTTCAAGTTCGCCTGCTCGTCAATATGGCTGTTATTTGAATTTTGTGTTTCGATTTAATTACACAATTGCATTTAACTTAAAGTAGACTTTAGAACGCATCTTATTACACTGCATAATTTGAAAAAACTGAAACACATAAAAAAACGAAACAATCACAATTTTAACCTTCTTTTGAAGAATACATTCCGATACACACAATATATGATAATATTTCGATGACGCTATACGCCGACGCTAACGCGATCTATACGTAAGGTGGTGACCATAGCAACGTACGCTTTCTTCATCGCCTGCATCGTGGGACGGCAGTTCGTAGAGAAGAGCCCCATACCGTACAAGATGAAGCCGGACCTCTACATCCCCTACTTCACCCTCCTACAGTTCTTCTTCTACATGGGATTGCTTAAGGTGATAATTATTACTTCTACTTTATTTATTTTTATTGGCATGAGTTTGTTTTGGGATCGACACAAATTGTTGGAGAACGGAGCTAGTCATTGTGATGGAAAGCTATTTTGGTTCTTATCAAACTTCGATCCATCTTATCGGTCCATGCCAACAGTCGTGACGAATTTGTAATTTGATTATCCGAATTAATTTTCTGTCTCATCATCATGACATCCGTCTTTAAATAGCAGTAACTTTATGACTTCTTTCAACAGGTGGCAGAGCAGCTGATCAATCCTTTCGGTGACGACGACGAGGACTTTGAGCTCAACTGGATAATTGATCGACATATGAAAGTGAGCAGCGCGCGCCTCCTGCTGATGCCATATATGGTGGCTGGAACGATCCTTTCCCCTATGGCAATATTCGTTACTCTCCTTCTAAAATAATTCTTAGTGATAACGTGATCATGAATGTGAACTTGCAAAATTAATTCTTCCAAGACCAGCACTAATTTTTATAATGAGGTCAGGACCATTTTCGTATCATAACTTATTAAGAATGAGGAGATTTACGATTAATTTTTTACGAGAACTTATTAATTCAAGGAGATTTTACGACCGTGCTACGGTTCTCTTTTCGAATCCACGAATGTCGTTTTACTCTTGTAAAGTCTCCCCTGTTATCACAATGATTTTTCTAGTTGAAGTAACATGAATTAAGTAAAAACCGTTTGAACCCTCTTTAAGCAAGGCTAACTTTCGACTCCTATTTTTGAACTTAATTTTTTAATGACATCCTGCCCCCGTATTGCAACACATCATATTCCCTCTTTATAAATGGTAGGTCAAGGTACCCCGACACGGTGGGTATTGTTGATCCGCTCTAGAAACAGCTCCTCTATGTTGAACACAAATAAATTGGAACGAACACCTTTCAAATTGCGATGCAACCTGTGAACATCGTTTTAGATTTGGACCGGGTTCTCATCCATGTTTCATAATGTATTGGTTGGTATTCATTTTTTATTGTGAAAATAATGCATGAAACATTCTACCTTTAATCTGATGATGACAAATTTACAGACAACTACGAAATCTGACATTCAGAAAATTTGCTTACCACGTAGATACGTTACGTTCAGAATAGACCTCGTATATAAGTTAAGCCTCCTAGACTGGTAGGTATTTAACTAAAAAAAGGTTGTTATAACTTGGGTGTCTTTACTTCCCTTTCATGATTTGAAAATGAAACTTTTTAATTTGTACGGCAGGTTTCGTATCTGATTGTTGACACCCTCATCCTGAAGACGCCGCCGCTCACCAAGGACATCTACTTCGACCAGACGGCGCCCGTGCTGCCCTACACCGAGGCCGCCGTCCACTTCAAGAAGAAGGCTCACCGAGGCTCAGTGGCCCACATGACGTCAGTGGATTGAATTATTGTCTGATTCAATTTCAATCTAGTTCCATGCTTCTACTACCTGTATCAATTCGCTTTTAACACGTAATTTCTTCTTTTTTTTTAACACGATGCGGATTAGCGAGAATCTATTGCATGTGAATTTTGTTGTCATTCAATTAACACTGAAGTTTCATTAAATTAAATTGAAACCAAATTCTAACTGCCAACTTAGCAATTAATCATACACATAAAAAGCAAAGTTCAACAGTAAAAGTTAATGTTAGAAACAAGTTGGACAGATTCACAGGAAATTGTCATAGAATTAAGTCATCGATCGTAGCTATAAGTTGGATGAAAACTGTTTTTGTCTAGCAACGCATAACTTTGATACTATAAGTTCTGTCCGTCTATAAGGATGATATGAATATCCTTGATTCACATTTTCATTTTACTTTGCATCATAATTGTGGAAATTTCATCTTAAGTTATTAAGTTTGATTAAAGCCAGAGTTATAATTTAAAAAAAATAAACATATATTAAAGCTGATAATTATCTGATACCCAAACCTTGCTTATTCTTTGGAGAAATGATTGTATTGTGTTGTTTCTAGGATCCCTGAGGACCAACAGACGTTTATTCTGCCCGACATAGAAGAAGAGTCTGACGAGGAGAGATCAGAGGCAGACGACGCCACCAAGAAGGGGAAGATCGCGTCCGGACTCTTCACCTCCACGGGAGCCATGCTGCGTGACACGTCCTTTGCAGACCAGGGTAACGTGCGAGGTCTTTGCATACCAGGGTAACGTGCGCTGTCTTTGCAGACCAGGGTAACGTGCGAGATCTTTGCAGACCAGGGTAACGTACGAGGTCTTTGCAGACCACGGTAACGCGCGCTGTCTGAACAACACCTCAAGTTCAGTCCTACTTTAAGTTACAAGAAAGATGAGCATGAATAAAGCATAGGAACACAAATTGCTCCAATTTGTCTCATACTATTTGTTGGACATTGAAGAGCTTTCATCCATGAATTTTGTTTCTTTCACAATTCAATCTTCTCATCATAATGCACAATTATGCATTTAAAAACCATTAGGCTTTTGGACCAGTTTTTATTTGTAATGCAATAAAATGTTAACCATTCTTCTTATAAGATTGCTAATTTTGAATTTTATAACGATTATCGATTTCAAAACTAATTGTCAGTAATTAACGCGCGAGGTCTTTACAGACCAGGGTAACGTGCGAGTCTTTGCAGACCAGGGTAACGTGCGAGGTCTTTACAGACCAGGGTAACGTGCGAGGTCTTTGCAGACCAGGGTAACGTGCGAGTCTTTGCAGACCAGGGTAACGTACGAGTCTTTGCAGACCAGGTAACGTGCGAGGTCTTTACAGACCAGGGTAACGTGCGAGGTCTTTGCAGACCAGGGTAACGTGCGAGTCTTTGCAGACCAGGGTAACGTGCGAGTCTTTGCAGACCAGGGTAACGTGCGAGTCTTTGCAGACCACGGTAACGCGCGAGATCTTTACAGACCACGGTAACGTGCGAGGTCTTTGCAGACCAGGGTAACGTGCTAGGTCTTTGCAGACCACGGTAACGTGCGAGGTCTTTGCAGACCAGGGTAACGTGCGAGGTCTTTGCAGACCGCGGTAACGTGCGAGGTCTTTGCAGACCAGGGTAACGTGCTAGGTCTTTACAGACCAGGGTAACGTGCGAGGTCTTTGCAGACCAGGGTAACGTGCGTATGGATCTCCCTCACATGCATATTATTAAAATTTATATCAAATCCTTCGAAGTTCACATCCACTTAAACGTTCAACTCCCAACCATCTTTCGGTTGCAAACGTCTCTAAAACAGTGATGCCGGCATTTTAACTATGATTTCTACCACATGCTTAATTTTTGAAGTGATAAAAAATTGCTTTTTCCGCTGATATGTTTTATTCCTTATTAATATACAGTGTTTTTCATATTGTAAGATTGTTTAGTGCTCAATTAAGCTTTCAACGAAGCAAGACAAAATGTAATGCTTATAACAGCTGAAATAAATAAAACATGTTATGTTCATACTCAAACACGCATCGTTGTGGATTCTAAGAATCATCTTTAATTTAAAAAAAATGCAAGTGAAATCGGGTGACCTTTAATAGTTACTTTGGAAAGCTCTCTACTGGCAAGCTAGTGCCCGACGAGCGTAATTTGACTTGACTCCTTTCTTCCCATTCCAACGAATAACGATGTAGACGGGTTTTCATAAGTCCTCAGAACTTACATACGAGTTTATTGTGCATTACACAATGGATGATTTAATGTAAATTTCTTATTGCAAAGCCGCATTGTTCGTACAGAGGTACTTTTGAGCCGCAAATCAACCGCGCGTTCCTAGGGGGATTGTTCCTGAGCGCCCTACCGCTGAGCTCGCGGTGTCTGACTGCAGGTCTCAGTTGTGGGGTTAAGTTAATATGTAGGTAGGGTTCCTTACATTAAATTATTATGTAGGTAGGATTCCTTACATTTCCCTTCTCTGTCTCTTTCCCTTCTCTGTCCCTCCTTGTCACTTCGTCTCTTTGAGATGCTAACGCTGCTTCCTTCGAGCCAGCTTCAGCGGGCTGGACATCTGAGACCTTCCACCCCTTGTGGTGATGAATAATTGAGACCTTCCACCTCTATGGTGATGTTCATCTTGACTTTCGGTGCGAGATAGCTTAATAGCTGAAGCGCTAGTAAACATTTGGCCACTAAACTCAACCGCGCGTATATTTTTGATGCTCAAATAATTTCTATAACTAACATGCCCAAACACATCACAGTCTTCAGCATCTGTGTCATCAGGCGTGAAGCAGCTCCCATGAGGTGAATGTGGGCTTCCATGAAGGGCATTACTACTAGAATTGTCTCAAGTGTTTTTTTAGAGTTCAAACAGACATGAGGGCTTCTTACTATAATGTCAAATGTGATATAATGTATAAAGTGCGGCATTCATTCGTTTCAAGAAAAAATTTCTAATTATGTGCAATTACTGCCCATATTTTGGTTGCGTGTCATACTTTAAATATAGTTCGCTAATTAATTAGTGGCGAGTAGATATCGTCTTAAATGAATAAGTACTGATAGATATGGTAATTAATCGTCGAATTCATATCGCTGAAAGACGTTCTTTCAATTCTTCTGGTCAGTTCTTGATGCACTGTTTCCTCAAACAATGTTTATATACCTGGTATACAATCTCTTATTTCAATCTTAATAACAATGAAAGCGGTTTCAGCGTTTATTAGGCCGAAATCCTGTCGCCGTTTCTTAACATCGCAGAACATTCACAGCTTGTTGCGGTCTCGAACACGCAACTCACTGCTCAAATTTTGCTTTGCAACCGCCTGGCCTCATCGCCGATCCTGACCAGAAACGGGTGCACAGCGATGGGATTGAACCCGCACCTCTCTGTGCCATTGATGGTTCTCTGAACTTTATCCGCTGGGCCACCCTGCCCTTGATGTAGAGCCAGATAGTATTTTAAGTATTTTATTTATATGCGATTCACGTGAGTGAATCGCAGTTACTAACAAGAAGGTGTTTTTGGCAGGCATGTGGGCAGCGCTGTCGCGGCTGTTGGAACTAATCAAATGCTCGTGGCGACGGGTGCGGACACCGAGAAAATAATGGATTATTTAGTCCTGCCCATGGAAGATGATGGCGGAGACGTTGATCATCCCGAAGCTGATTGGAAGAACCCACACATCACACAAAAGTCAAATTTCCATTTACCTGCGTCTCTGAAAGCCAGACTGGCAGTTAGAAGGAAGCCAGTAATGAAATGGAAGCCGTACCACCGCCCACCAGAAGTTCGACAAAATTTAGATGAAATAATCAAAGAGTCCACGCCGGAGGGCTGCTACGAGGAAGAGTGCGCTTTCATGTGGAGAACAATTGAAGAAGATGCAGACGTTGGCAGACCACCTACCCAGCGCCTAGCACCTGTGCCGCTGCCCAACGAGTACGATGAGCATGACGACTTTAGTGAGAATTCCAGTCAAATTCAGGACCCACGAATAATATCTAGTTATACAAAAAAGCAACATCTCGCCGAACGAATGAAGAGTTCGTTTCCTAAGTCGATACCGCCTTCTCTGTTCAGACCCATCAAGAACCACCCGTCGTTGAAACCGAGGACAAAAAAATTGAAACAGTATCAACTAGAAAAACGAACGAAGCCTGTGCACCACCGTTCCTTACCACAGCTCTGCAGCAGAAGTGCTTCTCAACTCAGTTACTTCAAAACTAGAGTCAGAAGTTCCAGTTCAAACTCCCTGCCATCTGAACGGGACAAGAAAACAGAAATCTGCCAATGATCAGCTTTTTGCAGAATCAAGAAAAATCCACCACCACCTTCAGAGTTAAGATAGCAAGTTACCAGTAGACTTCATAGTCCGTTTGCTGTGACTGATGGACCAGGGCAGTCGGTTTTAAGTATGGCATTACTTTTTACCCTAGCGGGAAAGTTGATATCATGGACTCACGGTAACCTCTGTACTATTAAAATTAGTTGAAGCGAATCAATATCTCATTCTTAACTTTGCATCGTACATATTTCAAACGATGTTCTGTGATATTCCAACCTAATTGCTCAATATTCTCCCTTAATCGCGAATCGCTGCCAAGAATTGCTTCATCCAGTGAACGGATGTCAACAATGTCACAGATGTGCTACGCCAGTGGTTCATAACTACGAGCTTGACTCACTAAAGGGACTCATGAACATAACAACTGAGAATTTCAAATTTTGCGCTCATCTCGTAAGCTTCCTTGATCGACAGTAGAGGTAATCAAGACAACTTATGAAAAAAAATGCGGTCAGATGATCAGAACACAGGTGTGGTTGTGCGTGGGACGATGCGGTATTCGTAGCCGCACTGGTTACTTTTATTAGATTATGTTTATGAATTAAGAATGAACGGTTTACTGTCATTGCTGCTGATTATTGGATTACGATGATGATTGCAAGCTAGCAGCCGCACGTCCCCTGCGCATCAGGTCGCAGGAAAGAAAAACCCGAATTATCGGTATCAAATATCGATATTAAGATTAGGAGATTTCCTTCCCTTTTCTAGAACCAAATGATTAAACTATCGGTACACTTGTGCCGTTCCAGAAGGAAGATTGATGTCTAATTTTCGATTAGAAGCCATCAATTATTAATAAGTCACAATAAGGGCGCATGATAATTCGTTCAATTTGCAATGAAAGACAGAGTAATTAGACATGTCGCAGCGGTCTAATTATTTACGATGTCATCTAAATCCACCTTGAAGCTGAGGTTTACTTATCCATGCAAAGAATTCCGAAACGAAGCAGATTGAAAAGATACAGTAATTATGAAATAATAGAGCAGAGAGCAATGTACCAATGCAGTGAAACGATGTAGTTTCTTTTTTCATGCAATAGTTAAACGTTTCCATTGTTTGCCTATTGCAGTTTTTTTAACTTTCATTCAACATGAAGTAGATAGTACTTGCATCGATTGGAATTTCTTCAGGTGTTAGGATCAAGTGTTCATT